GGGCCGGGCGCGGAGGGCAGCCGGGTTCGGTCTCGGGCCACGCCTGGCGCTGCCGGCGAGGTGGGTGGCGGCCGAGCGGGACCCACCCACAATGATGTGCAGAGCCGAGGTCTTCGCATCGTTGGTGCCGACCGTCGAGTAACACACACAGTCCGTGGACCCTGCGGAGGGGAAGGCGGCCCTTAGAATCATCATCATAACTTCAGAAAACCCTGGGTGTCCCATGGCGTGCGTGGTTAGCTCCTCCTTGCCCTCGGTGGCCCCGGGGTAAACACAGAGGAATAAATAAACACACTTTACCTACCAGACGAATATTGGAAACGCTGAGATTAACTCGTCAGAAATACTGAGGCTGACCTTAAATAACACCCGAGAAGCACCTGCAGGGTGGCGGTCGGGACACAGCTCGGCGCCCTGCCTGCCGTGTCCCCTCCCAGCCGCTAGGGACACAGCGCTGTGTCCAAGGGAAAGCGCACGTCCGGCAGGGACGGCTCTGAGGGTCACAGGACGCCGGGCGGAGGCCCGGCACCTAGACGGGCGCCCCCTCCACCGAAACACCCGTCAGCCCCTCCGCGTGGCTGGTTACAGGACCAGGGCCCTGACCGCAGCCCCACCGAGCGGAGAGCACGCGCCCGACCGCAGCCTGGGCCCCTCCTTCCCCCCGCATCCTGATCCGTAAAGTGGGGGTGACCTCAGAGCGCCAGCTACACCCGGCCCCTGGGGCGTGGCGGGGGTGCCACGGATCCACGGATCATCCCTAGGTCTGTCCTGCTCTAACTGGGTCAGAATCCAGGTTGCCGTTCTTAACCCGAGTGGGCAGGGAACGCCCCAGGGCACCGCTTTATGGCAGATTCCTGAACCCCACACCTGAGGGTCTGACTCGGCAGGTTTGGGGGGNGGGGCCGAGCAGCCGGAATTTTAACAGATGTGCTGAGCTGGAAAACCCTGGTCAGGATTTCCCAAGAACAAGTCACGCGACGGTGTCTACCCTTGCACACTGCTGCCAGGGACTGCCGCGGCTCAGGGGCGGCCCGGGTCAGCAGGACAGGCGCCCTGGCCTCTGGCCGCAGGCAGGGTCTGGATGCTCTGCCCGGGGGCCCAGGCGAGGCCTGAGGCGCAGGGTTCTGGTGGCGGCCGCGGGCTCCCCGTGTTATCAGTTAGACACAGAGCCAGGCCCGCTGAGAGCTCGGGGGGAGGATCTTAATTACTGAATCCAGGCTGACGACGGCCACTGACGGTCACACACACGCACGCGCACGCGCACGCACGCACACGCGTGCGCTCCTACACTGCAACATGTACCTATTTTTTTGTTAGCCTTGACTTGACTGACATCTGATTCCAAACACGAGCCAAAAAGTAAAAATTTTTAAACAAACGTTTCAGGTTACGGGAGGGGTAGTTCTCACAACGTCACGAACGGGGCAAAACTGTGGGTTTCAGACCCCCCCCCGTATAACCCAGGGGGCCCACAGATCAGGCAGAAACGCTTCCGAGACAACACACGGCCCACCGCGCTGCTCTCTCGGCTCCGGTTTATTTCCTCTCTCCGGGGCCGGGGCCCGTGTCCTTCGCTCCGGGCCACAGGGCGTGGCTGGTCCAGTCGGGCGGAGAGACCTTTGCTGGACGAATGCGCAAAGGCCGAGTGAAGGAACTGCCGGAGCCCTGGGCAGCGCCCGGTCGAGGATCCCTTGCCTTTCGGTTTAAAGAGGCCGGTCTGGCCCTGGCCGGTTTGGCTCAGTGGTTAGAGCGTCAGCCGGCTAACTGAAGGGCCCAGGGTCCGATTCCGGCCAAGGGCACAGACCTTGGTTGCAGGCTCGACCCCGGCCCCGGTTGGGAGGCAACCAATCGATGTGTCTCTCTCACATCGATGTCTCTCTCTCTCTCCCCCTTCCACCCTGAAAAGCACTGGAAAAATATCCTCAGGTGAGGGCTAAAAAGAAAATAAACCCATACATACATACATAAATAAAAATAAAGAGGCTGGTCTGGCTGGTGCCCCGGGACCCACAGCTAGTGTAAATCCTTTCGGCGGCTCCCGCCTTCCTCCCGCGACAGGTGAGCGCCGACGGGCTCTCCCACCAGCCCCGCGGCTGGTGCCCTGGCTCCACGCCCCCCGGCCCTCCTTTCTGGTGAGCGGTGGTCCGACAAACCCTCACTTCTGAGAAGACTTTCAGCGGGAGGTTAACGTGTCTGTGCCGCAGGCGTTGCGCAGCCCAGGGCTCGGGCACTGGGCACGGACTGGGGGGTGGGCAGGCGCCGGGTCCTACCCGCGGGGATGATGCCAATGCGTAGCTGGCTGGGCACCAGCGCCGCCCGGGGTTCGTTCTGGTCCACGCCGGCGATCCTCTGCGTCCTGCCGATGAGCCCGTGCAAGACCTCGCTGAACATGCCGTCCCCGCCAACGCAGACGACCCTGCGGGAGCAACACAGGCGGTGAGTTCACCCCTCTGCTGTCCACGACCCACTCTCTCCGTGGCTCCCCCCGTGGGGGCAGCGTGGCCCTGAGCGCGGGACAGGCCCGACGCCCGGGGGACCATCAGGGTGGCCCGCGACAGGGCTGGCTCAGCATCCACCTTCTTCCTGAGCTCACGCCCCACCCTCCCGCAGCCCCCGCTCTGGAGCAGGCTCTTCTCTGCTGCCCGCAGTCGGGTCCTTCCAGACCCCGTGTCAGTGCCCAGCCCTGAACTACACACTTCTGACGCTCTCACAGCCACCAGGAGGCCAAGGCTCCCAAAGGCCACCAAGGGCAGGACCAAGACGAAGCCCCGGGGCCCGCTGTGACTCGCTGCAGAGAGAGTCAGCTCCTCCTTGGCCCACAAGCCTGTCCCCTTCAGGCCCAGCTGCTAAAACAACCAGAAAAACCAAAACCAACGCGGGCCCCTCCCCACCTTGACTGAGGCCTCTGGGAGCCGGGCCACACGCCCAGCAGGCACCTGGAACTGACCCTCCACGGCAGGTGACAGGGGCTCCTTCCTGCTGGTCCCCCCCAGCCCCGACCACTTCCCAGAACCCCTCTCCCAGGGTCGCTCTACACACTTCTGATGAGCCCGGGGGCACGGGCGCCCACTTGGGACCCCAGCTTTGTGACGACTCAAGCCTTCCAGTGGGGCTGACACAGTGCGTGGGGACACCCACGGCCAGGAGCCCCGGCGCAGAGATGGCGCAGCCACCCAGGGCGCAGACCAGGGCCGGACCCTGGCCATCCCGCCCTCGGCTGCCCCTTAACCATCTCACTGGCCAGACCAGAGCAGCCGGCCCGTCCCGCTGAGCCCGCAGCTCAGTGGACCCTCCCCACACCGGCGGCACCGGCGTCTTCAAAACCTGCTCCAGCTCCTTACCTCACGGCCTGACCCCACCACCCGCGCTGGGGTTGAATCCCGTGTGTCTTCCTCAAGAACTGGCCACTGGGGCCCGCTGATTCTGCCCCTAGAAGTCCTGAAGACCGTCCCCTCTGCATGTGCCCCCTGCCACTGTCCCACCAGCCCTTGCCCATGACCCAGACCCTCCCCTGGGCCCCCGGGTCCAATCCCAGCCCACTGCTACTCGCCATGTGCCTTTCTAACCAAGTACGTTTCTGAAGCCCAGGCCTGACCCTGCAGCGCCTCTCCTTAGGATCTTCCCCTGGGCCCTCTCCACCTTTCCCAGGGGCACCTGCCGGCCCTGTGCCCGAGGCAGCGGGAGCCAGCGCTCCGGGAGCGGACAGGCCAGCAGGTGTGAGCGACGCAAATGCAGTCACCCGAGGGGCACGCTGCTGGCACAACACCGTCTGTGCCCCTGCCGCCAGGAACTCAGGACCGGGTCTGACCAGGAGGCATCACCACAGACCCCACGAGACACACGCTGCAGAGCAACGGGCCCGCTCTCAGCCGCCCAGCCGGGGCCAAGCTGCTCTGTTGCCGACTGGAGACGGGACGACCAACGGGGGCAACCGAGAGCCGGGGAGTCTCCTCTGTAAGTAACGGGACGACGGGCAGAGCTGAAGGAAGGCAGCAAGCAGACCACAGCCCCGGCCGTAAGCGCCTGGGGGGACCGCTGGTTCGGTTCTACAGAGACAGCCGTTTTAAGAAACACACACGGAAGCACATAGGGACGGCGCGCAGTGTGTATGATCCTACCTGTGACATGCGCTCACATAATCCCATGTGGGCAGTGTGATCATGCCTGTGACATGCATTCAAATAACCCTCTGTAAGTAATATGACCGTGTCTGTAACACACATTCACATCATGTAGGCAGCATGATCGTGTCTGTAACATGCATGCACACAATCTTGTGTATATAGTGTGAGCATGACTGTAACATATATTCACATAATCCTATGTGGGTAGCATGGTCATGTCTGTAACATGTATTCAAATAACCCTCTGTAAGTAGTATTTTCACATAATCCTATGTGGGTAGTATGATCATGTCTGTAACGTGTATTCAAATAATCCTATGTAAGTAGTGTGATGTCTGTAACACACATTCACATCATGTAGGTAGCATGATCGTGTCTGTAACACGCATTCACACAATTCTGCATATATAGTGTGAGCATGACTAATATATGTTCACATAATCCTATGTGGGTAGCATGGTCATGTCTGTAACATGCATTAAAATAATCCTGTGGCCTGGCTGCGTGTGGCTCAGCAGTTGAGCGTCGACCTGGGATCCAGGCGATCGGGGTTCGATTCCCGGTCAGGGCACGTGCCCAGGTTGTGGGCTTGATCAATGGTTCTCTCATCATTGACGTTTCTGTCTCTCTCCCTCTCCTTTCCTCTCTCTGACATCAATAAAGATATATTTTTAAAAAATAAATAAATAAAATAAAATAATCCTGTGTAAGTAGTATGATCGTGCCTGTAACATGCATTCACATAATCCTACGTAGAAAGTAGGCCCAAAAGGAAACACAGATCTATTCCAGGTGGTAGAAGGTCGAGGGGCCTGAACTGTCTGCCTCTTCTCATTTTCTGCGAGAAGCGCGTCTGCCGTTACAATTAGGGAAGACGCGAGGAAAGGGAGGGAACAAAACTGAGCCAGACGGCAGGGCCGGTGAGAAGGCGCTCCTCGCGAGTCAGGGTGGGGCGGCCGCTCACGTCACAGCTGCCCACTCACCCGTCACAGCTGCCCACTCACCCGTCATAGCTGTCCATGTTCATCTCGTACAGGGCCTCCTTGGCGTGATTGGCACGTTCCGTGACTGTGGGAGGAACCGCACCGCGTCACACAGTTTACACTCAAATCTGTGGACCCGCCCTTAAACCCGAGGCAGATGAACCGTGCGCTGAAAGTGAGGCCCCACGAAACCTTCGGGGGGTTCCCGTAGGAAGTCCCTTCTCGGACAGAACCTCAGTCCCCCTCAGAGAAAACAAACTGCGCTGGACGCCGCGGAACACGGCCCTCTCGCAGAAGACAGCCCACGGCCAAGTTCACGCATTCTTGGCGTGTAATTGCCAACAAATAATGACTTTCTAGAAAGAATTAACTCTCCTGCTTGACCGTTTTTCTTTATTACCCAAGTTACTTTGAAAATTTTAGAACACACCAAAATGTAGAAAACACAAGATTAGTCCAGAGTCCGTACACCCCACGCGGAAAACAAAACCTCTGCTGAAATTCTGTCGTGCCCACAAGTCCTCATCCCTGTCGTCCCAACATCGTATCACAATCGCTTCTCTGTCGTTAAACATTCTTTGCAAAGGCCATTTGAAAGGACTACCTACTATTCCTTCAGATTCACCACAGTTTCACCCTCCTGTTTCCTGTCTGGGACATTCAGGTTGTTCCCGATGTTCTGCTGTTATAAAACGGGGCCGTGGACATCTGTTTCGCTGCCGAAAACAGGAAACCGGGCAAAACCCTCATCTTGAGGCCCTTGAGCCAAGCGGCCTGTTGCCAAGTGCTCTTGGATAAGTTTACGCGGGACCCTCGCAGCGCCCGTCTCCCGGCGCCCTCCCGGCATCGCCGGCTGGCTCTGCAAACTCAGAGGCGCGCATGTGGTGCCATCACGTTTCTTAAAATGTCGCTTAGCGGCAGATTTGTTTCTAAAACATTAATCGCTTGTGTCTTTTTCCTGCAAGAATTGTCTGCCCGTGGCCCTTCTCCTCGTATCTTCACAGTGCTTTTCTGGAGAGTTTTAAATGCTAGGGCTTGGCTAGAAACGTCTACGTTCTTTATTTCTATTCTTCTCACTCTAATGTGCAGAACAAACATTCGATTTAGTTTAAAATCATCTCGCAGGATAAAAACCTCGGGTGGCCACCCTGGAATCGCTCTCAGGTTCACTCGTCCCCCTGCGACAAAGCCCCCGCCTTACCGATGACCTCGGTGGAGATGGCGGCGAGCGCGAACAGCGGCGCCACCTTGCGCTCGTAGACCCGCTGGCCTTGTCCCTTCCCGCCGAACGGGTTGATGAACACCAGCAAGCGCTTCGGTCTGCACGCTGCAAGACAAGGGCGGAAAGTCACGGCGCCTGTGACGGGCGCCAGCTGGAGAACTGTCACCGAGCAGAACCAACCACAGCCGTTTTCGAGTTCCGCTCAGGTCACCTGACACAAAGTATTTCTAAGTTCAGGGACGGTGCTAAAGAGTGTCCTCATCCGGGAGGAGGGAACGGGGACAGCCTCAGAATGGGTGGTGCCCGGGCCGCCCGCCGGGTGACGCAGCGCTGCCCAGTAATAAACAAATGAGCACAAAGGCCGCACGCACTCAGCTTGTCCAGCTGCTCCCGGAGGGTCTGCAGCCACAGGTGACACAGCTGCTCGTCAGCTCCGCAGAACGTCACCTGCATGCACTTCCAGCGGTGGCGCCGGGCTCTCTTCACGCAGTGCACTGCGGGGAACAAGCGGGTCAGTTTCCGCCCGCAGCGCCCGCGACCCCCCGCAGGAGGCCTGGCCGCGGTGCCCAGCGCAGGCTCCAGGCGCCCAGAGCGCGTCCCCGCTCCCTAGTGGGACCTCCGCCGGACACGAGGAAAAATCCTCTCTCTCGGTTCTTCCACCCCATGTAAAAAAACTAAGGAGAGAAAAATGACCCAGACCAAAACGTTGATTAAAATCAGGTCATGGAAAATGACACAAGGAATCTGGATACAGATAAACCGCGGAAACCCTGACTTTGTCGAGCAAGCGACAGAAAAGCCCCCTTTCCGGGGACCTGCGCTGCGTTAGGCCCGTGGACGGAGACCGCCGGGCTCCGCTGTTACCTGTGAAGGCGAAAGGCGGTTCCATCTTCTGCCACTTCCCACTGCCGTGGGGCTTCCCGTGACTGTCTGTTTCCTCGACGGTGATGATCTCGGACACGGGCACCGAGCAGGCACCTGCAAGGACACCGCACAGCTACGCGTCAGACGGGCCCGTCCACTCCCCGGGAGCGTCAGGAGCCCGACTCCGAGACGCCGCCAACGGTCCGCTTTCACGGTCCTTAAAAACCCACACGCCAACGGGAACGTTGTAGATTTTTAAATTCAGAGCCAAGTAGATTTGGGAAACTCGGTGTTATCATGAGACGGGGTGTTTCATCCAACAGAATCACCAAAAGCAGGGCAGACCCTGCAAACGACCGGCCCGTCCCTTCGAGCAGCACATGCTGACGTCGGGGCCAGACGCGCTCGCTCTGGGGAGAGACGGTCCAGGACCGGTGTCGGCCCCCCGCCCGGCTCAGAAAGCACAGGATCTGAAATAAAAGTTCACTAGGCAGGCTGGGCAGCAGAATGGGTGCGACAAAGCGGAGTCAGGGAGTTGAAATCAGGTCAGTACGAGTAACTGACTCTGAAAGCAGAGCGAGAAAGACTTTTGTGGTTGTTGCTAATCCTAACCACAGGATATTTTTTCCATTGATTCTATTTAGGGAGGGAGGGAGGGAGAGGAAAAGAGAGAGGAACATCGATGGGAGAGAGACACATCGATTGGTTGCTTCCTACACGCGCCCCGACCAGGCTGGGGATTGAACCTGCAACCGAGGTACATGCCCTTGACCAGGAATTGAACCCACGACACCTCGGTGTGCAGGCCGACGCTCTAACCACTGAGCCACACTGAGCCACACTGGCCACTGCGAGAAAAGAGACTTTTCTTTTTTTTTAAAAAAAAAAAAATCTTTATTGGTTTCAGAGAGGAAGGGAGAGGGAGAGAGAGAGAGAGAAACATCAATGATGAGAGTCACTGATCAGCTGCCTCCTGCAAGCCCCCGACTGGGGATCAAGAGCCTGCAACCCGGGCATGTGCCCTGAAGGGGAATCAAACCGCCATCTCCTGGATCCTAGGTCGATGCTCAACCGCTGAGCCGCGCCCGGCTGGGCCGAAAAGACTTTTTAAAAATGCCACAGGGACCTTCCACTTCCGAGAAGATGGACTGAGTCAGGGGTGGGGAACGTCCAGCCCTCGGGCTGTAGATGCCCTGCAAAATCATTTGGTCTGGCCCTGCTCCAGCCATCACATTAGAGGTGAGTTATTTAAATGTTTGGCCAAATAAAGCAGGCTAATTTTTAAGTTGATAATTTTGTATGGCCCACGAGTGATGTTATAAATATCCAAATGGCCCTTGGCAGAAAAAGGACTCCCCACCCTCGGACTAGGTGTACTTTCCTCTATTCCTCCCACAAGTCACAGATAACACAAACGTGACAAGACTTGGAAGTGGAGAGGAGACGGCCTGCCTAGGGACCTCAGGACTCGAGGAACAGCCCGAGGGCGAGTTCCCTTGGGTTTCGCCTCATCGCTCCCAGACCGATGTCAGAGAAGCTGTCGATCCAGAACCACCAGTGGGTACAAGTGAAAACTCCAACACAGCCTGACACTCTGCCAGAGGACCAGGGAAGGGCAGCCCAACAAGACTGAAAACACTAGACGAGAACCCCCCACTCCAGCAAACACACAGGGAGCCCTGGCTCCACCCCCACACGCCAGCAAAGGCCCACTGGGAGCCCAGACTTTACCATCGGGGGTGTAATGCGGTACCCCAACACCCCCTGCCAGGGTGGGGGGAGAGAAGGCCAAGTGGGGAGCCAGAATTCCCTCCCAGCCAGCCAGTAACCAGCCTCGGTCCCCGCAGGGGTCAGTAGAGACCAAGAGGGAGGGGGACATCCACCTCCACCCAGCAGCACCAAGGTGCTCCCCAACCTCCTGGCTGGGTGGTGTCCAGGGAGACCTGGTGGAGGGTCAGGACTTTCACCACCATTCACCTCCACCCATCCGGGTGTCAGGAAACCCTGCAGGGAGCAGTCACGAGGCACACCTACCCCTCCCAGCCAAGGAGGTTCAGTGGAGGCCTGAGGGGGGGCTGGCACTCCCACCCACCGGCAGCAATGAGGAGCCCCTCCTTGGTTGTCAACAAGCCCAGGGAGCCAGGACTTCTTCCGCCACCTGGCAATAACTCGCCCCCCTCTCCTGAGGGAGCCGTGCCAGAGAAAGTCAGCTGAAAGAGCAGGTTTAAATAAGATCCGAAGGTTCATAACAACACAGAAATGTCCAGGTTTCCATCAAAACTTAGTCACCACACCAAGAACCAGGAGGTTCTCAAAATGAATGAAAAAAGACAGTATGTCACTAGATGCCAATGCTAAGTTGAGAAAGATGCTGGAATTATCTGACAAGGATTATAAAGCACCTGTGACGAAAATGCTTCATGAAAAATTACACACTTAAAACCAGTAACAACATATAAAGGCTAAACAAAGGAAAAGAAGACAAAGAACCAAATGGAAATTTCAGAACTGAGAAATACAATACCAAAATAGAAAACAGATGGGTGGAATCAGCAGCCCAATGGAGGGACGGAAAAAAGAATTAGTGAACTGGAAGACAGAACAATAGAAATTACTCAATTTGAACAGCAGAAAAATAAATTTAAAAAAAATGACCAGGGCCTCAGGGACCTGTGGGACAACAATAAAGGATCTGACATTTTGTCACTAGACTCCCAGAGCAGAGGAGAAGGGCTGAAAAAAGTACTAAAAAAAAACAAATAAGGGCTGAAAACTCCCCAAATTTGGCAAAAGACNCTAGACTCCCAGAGCAGAGGAGAAGGGCTGAAAAAAGTACTAAAAAAAAAACAAATAATGGCTGAAAACTCCCCAAATTTGGCAAAAGACAACCTCAAATATGACAAATCCAAATAAATCCAAATCCACATCATAGTCGAACTTCTGCAAATCAAATACAAAGGAAAAAAATTTTTAAATCAGTAAGAGAAAAACAACTCTTTGCCTAGAAGGGAAAATAATTCGAATGACAGTGTATTTCTCATCAGAAACCATGGAAGCGAGAGGAAGTGGTACAATATTTTTCCAGTGCAGAAAGAAAAGAATTGTCAACTCAGAATCTTATACCCAGCAAGAATATCCTTCTGGCCCTGGCCAGGTGGCTCAGTTGGATGGAGCATTGTCCCGTGCACCAAAAAATGGTGGGTTTGATTTCCTGTCAAGGCACATAAGTCAGTTGAGGATTTAATCCCCGGTCGGGGCGCATATGGGAGGCAACCAACCAATGTTTCTCTCTCATATTGATGTTTCTCTCTCTCCCTATAACTCAGGGGGGTTTTTTTGTTTTGTTTTTTTTAAAAAAGACTATCCTTGGATAAAGGAGAAATCGAGACACTCTCAGATGAAGGGAAACTAAGAGACCTTGTCACCAGCAGACCTGCCCTAAAAGAATAATTAATGAGAATAGAAAGAAGACTCCCCTGGGAAAAGGGAAGAGAGACTATGGTAAGTAAAGATAAGGAAAATTACAATAGGATTTTCTTCCCTTCCTGACTTTTCTAAATTTTGTTTGAGGGTTGAAAATAAAATTATAACACAAATGCGTTTGTAAATGTATGGGAAAGAAACAAGACAATTACATTACAAAACAGGGGAGAACAAAGTAATGCAGAGAGTGGCAAGGTGTCTACATTCCACTCAAACAGGTATGGTGACCACACCAGGAGACTAGGATGAATTACGTATGTGTAAGCCAATACCCAGGGAAGCCACCCACAGGCTATTGACAGAGAGGCACTCAAAACAATACAGATATTTGACCACAAAAAAAAAAAAAAATTAAGATATATAGAAAAACAAAAATGGAATTCTAAAAATTTTTTAAGTAATCCACAGGAAGGCAGAAAAAAGAAAACAGCCATGGAAACCAGGAAGAAAAACAAGAAACAAAAAATACAATGGCAGACTTAAGCCCTAACCAATATTTACATTAAAAAGATAGAACCCTGGCTGGTGTGGCTCAGTTGGTTGGGTGTCATCCCGTGTGCCACGAGGTCACAGGTTCAACTTCGGGTCAGAGCACATGGCCAGGTTTCCGGCTGGATCCCCAGTGGGGGACGTGCAGGAGGCAACTGATGTTTCCCTCCCCCTCTCTAAAAATAAAAAAATCTTAAAAAAACACACAACAGACAGAGACTAATCTCGTTGATTAAAAAACATGGCTCAACTGTGTGGTCTAAAGAAAATCACTTCAAATCAAATGATGTAAACAAGTGGAAAGTAAAAGCACAGAAGAGACGTGTCCTACAAACATTCATCGAAAGGAAGCAGGAGCGGCTATGTTGACAGACACAGCAGACTTCAGAACAAACACAACTGCCAGGGGCAGACAGGGACATCACATGACGAAAAAAAGCATCAATCCAGAATGGAGACACAGCAATTCCGAACCTGTATGCACCAAACAACAGAGCAGGGAAACCCATAAAGCCAAAGCTGACACCCCCCGGAGACAAAGCAGAGAAGTGCAGTTTCAGCTGGAGACGTCAACACCCCCCTCTCAGCAGCTGGCGGAACAAGGAGACAGAAGACCAGCGAGGACGTGCGAAAGCTCAACACCCCCGTCCATCAACAGGATGCAACCCCGTTTCCACGAGGCCCCACCAACAGCGGCAGCCCACGGGGTCTCTTCAAGCGCCGGTGGGACATATTCCAGGACAGACCGACTCTCTCCTGTACGCTCCTCTTGTTCGGGAGCCCACTTCACACCCTGGCTGACACGGGCAGGTCTGCGTGAGACTGGTTAGAGGGAAAGGAACCGGCTGGCTCAGTCCCGAGGGTCAGTCCGCAGATGTACGTGCTGTTCCCCAGAGGAGCCTTCCGTCTGTGCGCGCCGGGTCAGGACCCAAACGAGCGTGTTCCCCAGCCTGCGGCCGTGATTCTTCCAGATGACCAGATTTGTTTGTTTGGAAGGTCAAAGTATTCTTAGCCATCTGGATGCACTGCTTTTGCCAAGCATCACACTGACTGCACCACACAGTCCCATTCCTCCCTCAGCAAGCGATTCGGAGGGGAGGTGGCGAACCGCAGGCTGGAGCCAGCCAGCCGCCTGCTCTCAC